ATTACTAGATGACCACGTGTACAGTTTACTAGGCTATAACAAGTTTGTAATATTACCAGATGACCACCTGTACAGTTTACTAGGTTATAACAAGTTTTTAAAATCGCAGTATTTAGTGGGTTATAATCAATATTCACTTTTATCATTCACATACAACATTCATCTCAACAATATTTAAGCTTCAAATTGCTTTTCTCAAATACTTAAGTTCATTTTCTCAATACACACTTCTAAATATTGATAAAACGCGTCACACCCTGAGTGTTTAACCCTGATCATTAAACATCATTTATAAAAGCACGTAAAAACGTTGAGTAGTGTAATAGAGGTTTATTGTGGCTCTCCAGGAAGACTCCATGTAGTATAATGCACAATAAACGTGCTTGTGCTATTTTTATTGCTAATAATTATGACTTATTTTCACTGTATCTGAGTATACATGGAGAGAGTTCGGGGGTTAACGCCCCCGCGGCCCAGTCTGTGACCAGGCCTCATGGTGGATCAGGGCCTGATCAACCAAGCTGTTACTGCTGGTCGCACGTAATCCAACGTACGAGCCACAACCCGGCTGGTCAGGCACCGACTTTAGGTGCCTATCCAGTGCCTGCTTGAAGACAGCCAGGGGTCTGTTGGTAATCCCCCTGATGTATGCTGTTAGGCAGTTGAACAGCCTTGGGCCTCTGACACTTATTGTGTTGTCTCTTATTATGCTAGTGACACCCCTGCTTTTCATTGGGGGATGGTGCATCGTCTGCCGAGTCTTTTGCTTTCGTAGTGAGTGATATTTGTGTGCAAGTTTGGTACTAGTCCCTCTAAGATTTTCCAGGTGTATATAATCATATATCTCTCCCTCCTGCGTTCTAGTGAGTACAGGTTTAGGAACTTCAAGCGTTCCCAATAACTGAGGTGGTTTATTGCAGTTATGCGCGCCGTGAAGGTTCTCTGTACATTTTCTAGGTCGGCAATTTCAACTGCCTTGAAAGGTGCTGTTAGTGTGCAGCAATATTCCAGCCTAGATAGAACAAGTGACCTGAAGAGTGTCATCATGGGCTTGGCCTCCCTAGTTTTGAAGGTTCTCATTATCCATCCTGTCATTTTTCTAGCAGATGCGATTGATACAATGTTATGGTCCTTGAAGGTGAGATCCTCCGACATGATCACTCCCAGGTCTTTGACATTAGTTTTTCGCTCTATTGAGTGGTTGGAATTTGTTTTATACTCTGTTAAAATGTTAATTTCCTCACGTTTTCCATATCGGAGTAATTGGAATTTCTCATCATTGAGCTTCATATTGTTTTCTGCAGCCCTTTAAAAATTTGGTTGATGTCCGCCTGGAGTCTTGCGGTGTCTTTAATGGAGGACACTGTTATGCAAATTCGGGTGTCATCTGCAAAGGACGACGCTGCGCTGTGGCTTATATCCCTGTCTGTGTCCGATATGAGGATAAGGAACATAATGGGGATAAATACTGTGCCTTGTGAAACAGAGCTTTTCACCGTTGCTGCCTCAGACTTTACTCTGTTGACTACTACTCTTTGTGTTCTACTTGTTAGGAAATTATAGATCCATCTACCAACTTTTATCACGCATTTTGTGCGCTATTACACCATGGTAACACTTGTCGAAGGCTTTTGCAAAGTCTATATATATTACATCTGCATTCTGTTTGTCTTCTAGAGCATCCAGGACCTTGTCGTAGTGATCCAATAGTTGAGACAGACAGAAGCGACCTGTTCTAAACCCATGTTGCCCTGGGTTGTGTAACTGATGGGTTTCTAGATGGGTGGTGATCTTGCTTCTTAGAACCCTTTCAAAGATTTTTATAATATGGGATGTTAGCGCTATTGGTCTGTAGTTCTTTGCTGCTGGTTTACTGCCCCCTTTGTGGAGTGAGGCTGTCTGATAGTTAATGTATTAATTTTTATCTACACTGAAAATAGCTATGATTATTAATAAATATGATTTTTAAAGGGGCGAACCGGTAAGCCAGTGGAAGGCCTCGGTCAGATGACCAAAAGCTCCAGCTGTGGGTCATCTTATGCTAAAACCGCGCCAGGAAACACTTATTCTGTTTCTGACAAACCTACCTAACTTTTTTTTTTTTTTTGGTTATCCTAGGTAATTTACATGTTATTATGTAAGCATCTAAAAGTTGTGTAATTGCACATAAATAAACTAATTTATTTATGTAATTAGTTAATAACTACAATAAATATAACTGACGTATAATGAAGAGGATAAGTCTGAGGTGAGGGAGACTGGTGGAGGAAGACTGGAGGGAGACTGGTGGCGGGAGACTGGAGGAAAACTAGTGGAGGGAGACGGGAGAGATTGGCGGAGGAAGACTAGTGGAGGGAGACTGGAGAAAGTCTGGAGGGAAACTGGCGGAGGAAGAATGGAGGAAGACTAGTGGAGGGAGACTGGCGGAGGAAGACTGGTGGAGGGAGACTGGTGGAGGGAGACTGGTGGAGGAAGACTGGTGAAAGAGGGAGGGCAGGACTAGTGTTGTATCTCAGTGTATGAACATGGTGAGTGAATTGTGTGATGGTTGAGCCATGTTTGGTAGGCTAGGCTGGCAGGGGCCTCACCATAATGGTACACCACACAACCATGGTAAAGAAAGAGGATAGGCCTAAGATGTGACCTCCCGTACTCACCAGTGGGTATAACATCTATCCTTGAAGTAACACTGTCCTCCACTATGAAGACTGCAACATTGATGGTGAGTGTAGCGAGTGATGAATGAGTCAACACTACATTGTAACACTCCAACGATAAGTTTGTTTCAGTTGTTTCCAAATTTTTGCTGCAAGTATTTTTTATTTCAGCGTTGCAAAACAATGAAAATTATCTTAGCTATCATATGTTTTAAGAAGGGAGAACCTTGACGCCAGCAATGAAACTGTCCTTCACTTCTCTTGATCCAGCCTGTTTACCTACGGATTTAACACCTCAACAAAAATACACTAATCGTAATTATCTTATCCTACTTTCTATGTGAGTATTAAGCTTTGGTCACTGGTACCCCCCCCCCCCTTGCCTTTCCTTCCTTCACCAAGACTTATGTTAGTGTCATCAATGACTATGTATTAAAGACAGTCATGTGACCCGGACAACACATGTATGGTAATATGTTTGCAGAGTTGATGTCCTGGAAGTTTTTTATATATGGTGTAGGCTGTGAAAGTTTCTCTGCTGCTGCACTTTGAGCTGTAAGTAGATACATTTTAAAAGTTTAATTTATTATTATTATATACATATATTTGTTTATATTAATTGCATTACACGTATTTATATATCTGCCTTAAGTACAACAATGTTATGAAGGTACAAGCTTGAGAAGTTATGATAACTTAACCTAGGATATCCTAACAATGCCTAATGGGATGATTTAGTTCCATAGTACATATAGATGCTATCTTTTTATTCTATAATAGATAATAATATTGATAATGCCACACATACAACCAACTAAAATTACAAGTTATACAGCTGCTAATATAAAGTATGTATAAATATAAAAAAAGAAATCGGAGTTTCTGAGATAAAGTGCAATGACTCCAGTACAAAGAAGTCACAGTGTATTATTGGACTGGGCTTAAAAATATATAACGAACCATTAATGTATGTCAGTAGTATATGGTCTCATAATCACCGTACAAATTTATACCATTGTTTAAAATCATTTATAGGTTTTATGTATAAAACTTATTCATTCTTATCTTCTGCGGACGTATGCACACACAGACTCAGTTGAGTCTGCAAATTGTGTTAATACAGTTAACACATACATAAATGTATTAAACATTTTATCATACTACACATTAGCTACTCATAGATGAACGTTCTCTCCTCAAAATCCTCTCGTTCTCTCAACTAAGTATCCAAGTTTCTAATTAATTACGTATTAGTAACTTTTTTTTTTTTAAAGTCTTCAGTGGTTGTAGCACTTACTCCCCCCTCAGCATGTGTGATTAACTGTTTGTAGCTACAATAGCATGGCTATGTTGGTGGTGTTCCAGCTTCAGTGTTTGTAACTATAGAAACATGGCTATGTTTGTAGTGTCCCATCTTCAGTGTTTGTGGTTAGAAGAGCATGGCTATGTTGTTGGTGTCCCATCTTCAGTGTTTGTGGTTAGAAGAGCATGGCTATGTTGTTGGTGTCCCATCTTCAGTGTTTGTAGTTAGAAGAGCATGGCTATGTTGTTGGTGACCCATCTTCAGTGTTTGTAGTTATAGAAGCATGGCTATGTTGGCGTCCCATCTTCAGTGTGCGATTTTATTAATTATATAGACAGTGAAGTTTTTGTTTTAACCCTCTCGGCCATCAGGGTAGAGTGACCCCAAGAATGCAAACACACTCACCATCATTCATACCCTAGCAATCTTTCCGGAAGTACGAGGACATTATAATTCAAAAGACCCACTTAACCGCAACGGCCCCACCCATCATCGTTCAGATCCAGGCACTCCAGGTCGACCAAACAGTTTCTCTGAATCACTTTCTGAATGTTATCTTGTTCACACTCCAGTAGCACGTAAAATATCAAAAACCTCTTGCCTCCATTCACTCGCACATTCCATGTAATGAAATACAATATAATATCGTGTGTTGAAAAACTCCTCCAGTATATGTCAAGAATATACAGGTCACGTTGTTGACATTTACCGAGGTCAAGAAAACTATTAACAATAATACCATGATGGTACTACAAAATTCACACTCAAGAACTTGAAGTCCAGCAACTAAGACGGAGTTATACTAACATTATGTATTAACAAAGGCATGTTAACATATAATGGTTAACTTGTCGGATATATTTATCAAAAGTTGCCAGAAAATTTCTTAGCACTATGAACAAGGCCACACTCGAAAGAAGTGCTTAAAGAGTAATGGAAAGTTTCCTTCACTTGGTGGTAGAGCATGACTAGCATACAAGATGGGGAAATATGTTAAAATAACTAGCATTAAAAAAAAAAACAATATATGATAGATTAACATTGACGACGACACATTACTAACATAACTGCTCTTGTAGGTACTAATACCTGGAGCAACCTTCATGGCTGCTACAGTTGTGACAGCACAGGTGCTAGGCAGTACCCCTGCTGCAGGTGTGACAGCACAGGTGCTAGGCAGTACCCCTGCTGCAGGTGTGACAGCACAGGTGCTAGGCAGTACCCCTGCTGCAGGTGTGACAGCACAGGTGCTAGGCAGTACCCCTGCTGCAGGTGTGACAGCACTGGTACTAGGCAATACCCCTGCTGCAGGTGTGACAGCACTGGTATTAGGCAGCACCACCTGCTGCAGGTGTGACAACACTGGTATTAGGCAGCACCACCTGCTGCAGGTGTGACAACACTGGTATTAGGCAGCACCACCTGCTGCAGGTGTGACAACACTGGTATTAGGCAGCACCACCTGCTACAGTTGTGACAGCACAGGTGCTAGGCAGCACCCTGCAGGTGTGACAACACTGGTACTAGGCAGCACCACCTGCTGCAGGTGTGGCAACACTGGTATTAGGCAGCACCACCTGCTACAGTTGTGACAGCACAGGTGCTAGGCAGTACCCCTGCTGCAGGTGTGACAGCACTGGTACTAGGCAGCACCCTTGCTGCAGGTGTGACAACACTGGTACTAGGCAGCACCACCTGCTGCAGGTGTGGCAACACTGGTATTAGGCAGCACCACCTGCTACAGTTGTGACAGCACAGGTGCTAGGCAGTACCCCTGCTGCAGGTGTGACAGCACTGGTACTAGGCAGCACCCTTGCTGCAGGTGTGACAACACTGGTACTAGGCAGCACCACCTGCTACAGTTGTAACAGAACAGGTGCTAGGCAGCACCCTGCAGGTGTGACAACACTGGTACTAGGCAGTGTGGGGTGGTAGGTATGGGGTGTGTGTGTGGGGGGTGACGAGGCAGTGAGAGCGAGTAGGTACACATAAGGTGGGCGGGGTGGGCGGCAGTGGTGGGTGGCGGGGTGAGGGAGCCGCCGCCCACATCTTCCGCATGTGTTGAACTACATCAGCTCACCACAGCCTGGCGCGTGCCACCAGGGGTTTGCCCACTGTTGTGGGTCGCATACAGGAGTTAGCCCACTGTAGTGGGTCGCATACAGGAGTTAGCCCACTGTAGTGGGTCGCATACAGGGGTTATTCTACTGTTAAGGATCGCATACAGGGGTTAGCCCACCGGTGTCGGTCGTATCCAGTGGAAAAAACACTCTACCCCAGGTACCAGTGGTGGCTCACTGGGCTCAACACTGGTACCTGGGGTAGAGCGGAGGTCGTGGTGTAGTCACTGGGACCACCACTGGTACCTGGGGTAGAGAGGAGGTTGTGGTGTAGTCACTGGGACCACCACTGGTACCTGGGGTAGAGCGGAGGTCGTGGTGTAGTCACTGGGACCACCACTGGTACCAGGGGTAGAGAGGAGGTCGTGGTGAAGTCACTGGGACCACCACTGGTACCTGAGGTAGAGTGGAGGTCGTGGTGAAGTCACTGGGAACACCACTGATACCTGGGGTACAGTGGAGGTCGTGGTGTAGTCACTGGGACCACCACTGGTATCTGGGGTAGAGTGGAGGTCGTGGTGTAATCACTGGGACCACCACTGGTACCTGGGGTAGAAAGGAGGTCGTGGTGTAGTCACTGGGACCATCACTGGTACCTGGGGTAGAGTGGAGGTCGTGGTGTAGTCACTGGGACCATCACTGGTACCTGGGGTATAATGGAGGTCGTGGTGTAGTCACTGGGACCACCACTGGTTACCTGGGGTAGAGAGGAGGCCGTGTTGTGGTCACTGTGACCACCACTGGTACCTGGGGTAGAGTGGAGGTCGTGATGTAGTCACTGGGACCACCACTGGTACCTGGGGTAGAATGGAGGTCGTGGTGTAGGCACTGGGACCACCACTGGTTACCTGGGGTAGAGAGGAGGTCGTGGTGTAGTCACTGGGACCACCACTGGTACCTGGGGTAGAGTGGAGGTCGTGGTGTAGCCACTGGGACCACCACTGGTACCAGGGGTAGAGTGGAGGTCGTGGTGTAGTCACTGGGACCACCACTGGTACCTGGGGTAGAATGGAGGTCATGATGTAGTCACTGGGACCACCACTGGTACCTGGGGTATAATGGAGGTCGTGGTGTAGTCACTGGGACCACCACTGGTACCTGGGGCAGAGTGTAGGTCTTGGTGTAGTCACTGGGACCACCACTGGTTACTGGGGCAGAGAGGAGGTCGTGGTGTAGTCACTGGGGCCACCACTGGTACCTGGGGAAGAGAGGAGGTCTTGGTGTAGTCACTGGGACCACCACTGGTACCTGGAGTAGAGTGGAGGTCGTGGTGTAGTCACTGGACCACCATGGTACCTGAGTAGAGATGGAGGTCGGGCGTGTAGTCACTGGGACCACCACTGGTTACCTTTGGGTAGAGGAGGAGGATGTTGGTAATCACTGGGGGACCACCACTGGTACCTGGGGAAGAGACGGTTGTGGTCGTGGTGTAGTCACTGGACCACCCCTGTACCTGGGGCAGAGAGAGGTCCGTGGTTGTATAGTCACTGGACCACCACTGTACCCTAGGGGTAGAGAGTGAGGTCGTGGTGTAGGTCCGCTGGACCACCACTGTACCTGGGCGTAGAGAGGAGGTCGTGGTGTAGTCACGGGACCACCACTGGTACCTGTGGGTAGAGAGGAGGTCGTGTGAATAGTCACTGGGACCACCACTGGTACCATGGGGTAGAGAGAGGTTGTGGTGCGTAGTCACTGGGACCACCACTGAGTACCATGGGGTGAGAGTAAAGGTCCGTGTGTAGTCAACTGGGCCCAACGACAGCGGTAACCCTGGGGTAGAGAGGAGGTCGAGAGTATGGTGTAGTCACTGGGACCCACCCACTGTAACTTGGGGTATAGAGGAGGTCGTGGTGTAAGCCCGGGACCTACCAAACTGGTACCTGGAGGTAAGCAGGAGGTCTGGTGTAAAAGACACTGGTGACGCACCACTGGGTACCTGGGCGAAAGAGGAGAGGGTCGTGGTGTAGTCAATGGGATCCACCACTGGTACCATGGGGTAAGAGAGGAGTTCGTGTATGTATTCACTGGGACCACCACTGGGTACCTGGGTAGAGAGGAGTCTGTGTGTATGTCCACTGGGCGCACCAACGCGGTACCTGGGGTATGAGAGAAGGTCGTGGTGTAGTCATACTGGACCACTCACCGTACCTGGGGTAGAGGAGGAGGATCGTGTGTAGGACACTGGGACCACCACTGGGTACCATGGGTAACAGAGAATGAGGTACTGTGGTGTAGTCACTGGGACCCACCACTGCGACACTGGGGTACGAGAGAGAAGGTCGAGGTGTAGTCACTGGGCACCACCACTGGTACCTGGGTAAGAGGAGGTTGTGGTGTAATTCACTGGAACACCAACTAGTACCTGGGTCTATAGAGGAGGTCGTAGGTGTAGTCACTGGGACCACCACTGCGGTACCTGGGGTAAAGAGGAGGTTCGAGTGGTAGTAGTCACTGTGGGACACGACCACTGTGGTACCTCGGGGTCGAGAGGAGGTGTCGTGGTGTAGTCACAGGACCAAACCACTGTACCTGGGGTAGAGAGGAGGAGTTGTGTGTGTCACTGGGACCACCACTGGTGTACCTGGGGTAAGAGGATTGTCGTGTGTAGTCACTGGACCACCACTGGTACAGCTGGGGTAAGAGGAGGTCGTGGTGTAGTCCACTGGGACCACCACTTCGGTGTACCATGGGTTTAGCAGAGTGGAGTGCGTTGGTGTAGTCACTGGTACCACCACTGGTACCTGGGGTAGAGAGGATGTCCGTGGTGTAGTCACTGCTGAACTCACCACTGCGGTACCTGGGGTAGAGAGGAGGTCGTGTGTAATCACTGGTCCAAAATAAAATTGTGTCCGCAAGTAAATGTTACTGCGAATGCGTCTCAGGTCCACTTGTTTTTTCGTGTGAGGTTGTGGGATGCCGAGTTTATTGAGCCTTACCAGAACTGAGACAAACTGAAACATATGTACCTGCGCTAAAGATTCACTGCATTTCACATGTACCTGCGTTAAGTTCACTGATCACATGTGCCTGCGCTAAGACCACTGATCACATGTGCCTGACGGCCAAGACCACGGATCATATGACTGCGCTAAGATCATTGATCATATGTACCAGCGTTAATATCACTGATCACATGTACCTGCGCTAAGAGATCACTGATCAATGTACCAGCACTAAGATCACTGATCACATTTACCTCGCTTAAGATCACTGATCATATGCACCAGCACTAAATCACTGATAACATTAAGCCAGCACTAAGATCAGTGTTCCCATGTACCAGCACTAGATGCATGATCACAAGTACCTGCGCGAAGATCACTGCGATCATATGCACCAGCACTAAGATCACGAATCACATTTACCAGCACTAAGATCAATGATCACATTTACCCAGCAGTAAGATCACTGTTCACATGCACCAGCACAAGAATCACTAGATCACATGTACTCTAGCACTACAGACTCACTGACACATTACCCCATAATGTCTAAGCACTAAGAACACTGATCCACATGTACAACACTAAGATCAACTGATCACATGTGCCTGCACTAAGATCAATGATCACATTTACCAGCACTCAAAGATCACTAGTTCACTTATGTACCAGCTTAAGATCAGTGATCACATGTACCCAGCACTAAGATCATGTTCACATTACCAAAGCACTAAGAACAGTGATCACATATAACCTACAGTAAGAGCTCACTGTTCATATGTACCGGAGCTCTAAGACAGTGGATCACTGTAACAGCAGTAGATCACTGTTCGCCATGTACCAAGCCAACTAAGATCACTTATCACATTTACCAGTCACTTAGATCATTGATCAACATGAGGCCAGCACTAAGACATCACTGATCACATGTACCAAGCACTAAGATCACAGATTCACATTTACCAGCACTAAGCCACGTTCATATGTACCAGCACTAAGACAACTGATTCACATGACCCGCACTAAGATCAGGCGTTCCTATT